AATCATAAATAATGATTTCATATAATCATAATATGGACCACAAACTTTAATAATGACGTCATAATAATAAACTTCATATGATTAAGAGTATCATAATATAATATAATTCATATTATTCTCATCTGAAATATTTTGACAAAGTGATATGCTTCTCAATATTACAAATTCGATTGATTGGGAAAAGTATTAAGACAAATAACTTTGAAATCATTGCAACAACCAAAATAGTTAATGATTTGCAAACAATAGGTTATGTAGTTTGTCAATCTTCTAGATAAATAACACTAAAAAGAGAATGTTCGATTCTGATCAAAATGTTTTTGAATGTTTGAGTAAGTTGTCACTTTTTAATAGGAACATTTACAATCTTAATTGTGTATTGTGCTCGAGAATATGCGCAATTACTTTAGAGTATGTACTTCATGTAATATGATGATAATAAAAATAGTTTAGCATCTTTTCGAAGAAGTACATGATTTTGAAAAATCAACTTTTATTTAGAAATAAAATTCGTTCTCACCTTAAATGATAGGTACCAATTTGTCTATATGGGGAGAGAGAAAGAGAAAGAGAGAGAATAATGTAGTAGTTTATACAATGATCAAAAAATCACGAATTTCAGTGACACGGTTGGTTATTTCACATAGATTATTATGAAATGTTAGTTGAAATATCTTATAATGATCGTTCAATTATGAAATTTGACTATATGTTTGGCTAAAGTATTTATAAGTGTTGAATAAAGTAGACGTTTTACTAATTAATTAAGAATAATTTTGCAATACTATTGACGTATTGGACTCCAATGAGTATGAATGTTTCTTATGAGAACTCAAAACTAAAATGAAAAAAAAAATGACTCTCGAACATTATAAAAAGATAAATAACTCATGCATCTATAATATACATAAGATCCTTATTTATTATTATTATTATTATTATTATTATTATTATTATTATTATTATTATTATTATTATTATTATTATTAGGGACTTATTTTCTTATATATTTTTGTTTGAGTTTGTAACATGTTATTTAAATCCTTTTATGTTACGACATCATTATGTTGTTTTTAACAAAAAATTTATATTAAGAGTTTATTTGTTCTATATTTCATTTTGTTCTTGCAATTATATATTTAATAAATTAATTGATTTATCTTATCGGCCAAAAATATTTGTCACCACGTGCATTGCACGTGCACTTTACTAGTAACAAAAAACAGATGAAAGAAACAAAAATAGAGTAGAGTTCAATTTGTGTTTAAAAAGACAACAATGTGCTCCTCATATATGTATTTGTGCTTGTAACATGCTCATCTTAGTATATAACAATCCCAACTGCTGGCTTGCGAGAGGCGTTCTCGAGGGAGGCTACGACGTATTCGCGCCACGAGCTAGGGGTTCTGTCCGCACCATTGCCCGCGAGCTGAATGCAGGTCGTGAGTGTCTGTTTGTGAGTTTTTGTGGAAGTTGGTACTCGGGCTTGTTCTCAAGGCTCGGTTTGCTTCGTAGATTTTGCACATTCATGCGATAGGCATGAAATCTCGGATCGGAATCAGCAATCATTTGCTTCTCGACTCTGAACGACAAAATAAAAAAATTTCGTCACTCATCTTTTACTGAAAAATGTTTGCTCAGGACAACATCTCGCCAAATTAATTTCTTTTTTTCTCTTGTACCTACAAAAACATCAAAACACACAAAATAAAATGAAAACACAAAAACATGACTCAAGAGTTAATATATATATATATATATATATATATATATATATAACCTACAAAAACGGACGAAAAATACAATTAAGAGCAAAAAAATAGCTCGAGTAACCAAATTAAAAATACAAGAAAAAAATAAAGCACATAAACATAACAAACATATATGGAGCAAGGAGAAGTCATTCCAAGGACAAAAGCGTCATTGTAGCCATATGAATGGTGGGATTTGTTGTTGTCCGGTAGCACAAGAAGTAGCAAGAGGTGATGCAAATGTTTTTTTTTCTAGTCGATCGAGGACAAGACAGGGCACATGGTAAGGATTATTGGCCCGCCTCCTCAAATTAAAATAAACCCACACACCCCTTTGGTCTTTTGAGCTTCAAAACGTCAAAATTTTCATCTCTCTCCTCTATATATATATATATATATGTATATTTTTAAGTCTGATTAATTATTGTCCTCAGCCGTCATGGACCACCCAATAATTAATATTTTGGCCACTTACACTTGCACCAAATAAATAAGAATTCATGTCTACCTATGTGTTCCTACTACATTAGCTTGCTAGTGTCACATACTACTACACAATGACAAGAATAATAATCTCATCTCATTGATATATAACACAAAATAATATTCCTATATCTATTATATATACCAAACGAAATACGAATTAATTATATATTAAGATCCTCCATATATAGGTACAGTACAACAAACACAAGCACACAAAAAGAAATAATTTCAAAAATCCATGCCCTCACCTCATGAATGAGTGGTCACCATCCCCTCCATTTCTATATAAACACACCTTAATTCCCACCCTTTCCATTCCCACACAATATTCCCTAATTCCACATGATCTAAGTACGAGGAGGACTCACTCAAAATCCTATCTTTTTTTTTTTTTCTTCATAAATCATCCACCATGCCTTCAAGAAGAAAAACATGTGATCATACCCTCACTTCTCAAAACAAATACATAGATCTTAACTCGATGAAGGAACTACCCGACTCCCATGCATGGACAACCACGTCTCAGGGCCACAACGACGACGACCCCTCTTTCACATACGAGAGTCCCGAAAACATCCCAGTCGTCGATCTGAACGACGATGATGTAATCGGGCTAGTCGGTCATGCATGCACGGCGTGGGGGATTTTCCAAGTCCTCAACCACGGCGTCCCCCAAGAGTTGCTCGAGGAAATCGAGTCGGCCGCCGGCCGCCTCTTCTCCCTCCCGATGCACCACAAGCTCCGAGCCGCCCGCCAGCCGGATGGCATCTCGGGCTACGGCTCCGCACGTATTTCCTCTTTCTTCTCCAAGCACATGTGGTCCGAGGGCTTCACCGTTGCCGGCTCCCCTCTCGACCACGCCCGCACCCTATGGCCCCACGACTACCACAAATTTTGGTAAACTTAACAAATATTGAATTGAATTGAATTTTCTATCTAATTCAATTCAAATTTTCTATATATTTATTGGTTGATTTAATTTTCATCATTTGTAGTGATACTATTGAGGAGTACCGAAAGGCGATGAACGAGCTGGCCGTCCGTCTCATGCGGCTTGTGCTCGGCTCCCTCGGGATAGCGGACACCGAGGCCGACGGCATCAAGTGGGCAACCACGGGAGAGGCCAGGAGCGCGGCCCTCCAGCTTAACTCCTACCCGGCCTGCCCAGACCCGGGCCGGGCCATGGGCCTGGCGGCCCACACGGACTCGACGGTCCTAACCATCCTCCACCAGAGCAACACGAGCGGGCTTCAGGTGCGGCGGGAGGACCCGGAGAGGTGGGTGACGGTGCCGCCACTTGGCGGGGCCCTGGTGGTCCACGTGGGCGACTTGCTCCAAATAATGTCCAACGGGAAGTACCCGAGCGTGGTGCACCGGGCGGTGGTGAACCGGGCCCGGCACAGGCTGTCGGTGGCGTACCTTTACGGGCCGCCGACGGGTGTGAAGGTGGGCCCGCTGAGGGAGCTGGTGGACGAATGCTGCCCGGCTCTCTACAGGGCGGTGACGTGGAGTGAGTATCTGGGGAAAAAGGCCACGTACTTTGACAAGGCGCTGACGTCAGTGAGGGTGTGTGGGGCCAGCACGGCGGGTGGACTTGTCGATGGCAATGATCAGTTGGTAGCTTGAAAGAGTTAGTTTTGGATACGAAATTCCTTTTTTTTTTAACTTTTTTTTTCTTCCGGTTTTAATCTCTCGTGTGACTGAGGCCGATTGAATTGCCAAAAATACTGAGTTTTATTTTGGTTTG